ATGTTGTGCGGGGTCGAGAACCCTCACTCCGCGCAAGGGGGATGATCGCACCACGTTGTGTTAAAATGGTCAAGCACCCTCGAGGCAGTTACACAGTGCTTACAACTGTCTCTGGAGGTGAAAGCACCAGAAATTAAATCACCTCATACGCAGCTGTCATCCGTACGCAAGGAAGTAAGCACAAGATGCCGAACACCCTTAGCAGGATGCAGCGCACCCTTAATGCGACTCGGCGAATACCTCACGGTGCTTCGCGCTTGGTGACGTGAGAGCCTGGTCCGGTGGGAACCCGGCGTGCTCCGTCCCGGCTTTGTAGGGATGCGAGGTAAATGGTCTAACGACTACGGCATGCACGACTATGAGTACACCCTCCCCCCTCTCATGGGAAGATAAGCCGGTCGGACATGTTCCTGGTCGGCCTCACCGACAGAGAGAAGAACGTGGGCGCCCTCAGAAGAACGCGAGAAATCGTTGACCAATCGGCGCTCGACCCCGCGCCGTTCAGGTACTCTGAGGTGAGTCGGACAGCTTGCAAGCTTGTCCCCTTGTTTCGTGTGCGGTGTGCCCGCATGCCGCATCTACCTTCGTTTCTGCGTGAGGATACACGGACCTACTTGCTGGTTTTATTTATTGTTCCATGGAGCGGTCAGAGAAAGAAGATGCAATGCGCTTACATGCTTACGTGAGCGCGATAGAACGGGCGGGTCTGATGTCAAAACCCATTGACACTCTTCGAGATTACGGCGAGCGTGCCAACCCGTCTGCCGTGCCACAACAGCAACAACAACAGCAGCACCCGCACATAACACACAACACGCAAAACACAACACATAACACACGAAACCGACACAAACGACAACGACGACGACGGCAGGTGTTCGTATCCTCGGAACAATTTTTTGTGATATACGGCGAGCTCATGTCAAGCTTCGGCCTCGCCTTGGCGGCTGTGTTCTCGCTAAGCCTCCTCGTCCTGGGCAAGGTTGCTGTGGTAGTCCTTGTGTGTGTCACGTTGGTGAGCGCCGGAGAATGTGGGAGAGGGGGATGGGTTAGCGAACAACCTCCTGTCGTCAAGAACTTGTTTTGTGTAGGAACGGAGAACAAATCACCGTCTCGAGCTTCGGAGTGAGGGGGGTTGGTCTTTGGAGTTAACATCATTCCACGAGGAAGGAGTACTATAAGAAGCACGGCCTATCGTCAAGAGAGCTCAGAGGTAGTTTGGGCCTCTCCTCATCACACAACACACGACGGGGTATGACGCACAGGCCTGGGTCAGAGGCGAACAACGAAATTTTGCCGACTTTGCTGCGGGATGCCGAAGCCGAACCAAGCCTGATGTGTGTTATCTTGGCTTGATCACCTCAGGCTCTCGGGTCACGCACTTGTCTCATCACTTTGTACCAGGCCATCGTCGACGCGGAGCTGCTGGGCTTCGTCTACCACTACGGCCTCGACGTTAACAGCAACACCGTCACCCGTGAGTGGTGCGCGTTGTCTGCCCACGTGTTGTTGTTGTCGTCGTCGTTGTAGGTCGCCAACGTGTGAGTAATCCTCCTACAGAACGTAGACAACAACACCCGCCAAACCATCACTGCCACAGCCACCCACCTCGTAACCCTCCCTCCCTCGCTCCTTACCACACACAAAAACAGCACAAAGTAAATGCAGCGAGTTTATTCATCTTTACAACAACCACGACACGGCACTCATGCCTCGACACAGAAAGTCGTAACACAAAGCCTTAGTAGTTGATGATACTTCAGCCCACAAAAAAGAAAATAATTCACAGCACAGGATTCGAACCGCCTGTTTTCCTCGCTTTGGTGTGGTTGGTGATACACCGGGGGGTTTCACATGAAAACGGAAGAACACAACGAACGATATCGCGCACGTCTCGACCGTTTTGACCGCCCTTCCCCGTTGTGGGCGTCCTTCGTGAGGTTGGAGATCTTCTCGGCCCCTGGCTATCACAGCCAAGGGCGACGCGTCTCGTGCTCGAGATACTACACGCCGCTGGTAGGGCCCAAGAAGCGCAGTAGTACCATCGCTGTCGCTAACTTTGCGTTCTGCAGAGTAGATTCCGCTCCCCCTTGTTTCGCTCGTCCTCTCACGATCAGGTGTCAGAAGGGGGGCGTTTTGGAGGACAAGTTGAGAGTTCCGCCACGAACGCATGGTAAAAGGCTCTATGTTGCTTCCCGCTTGATAGCGGCCTCATTCGACCACGGTACCATCGACCAACAAGGTTACATCGCCCTGTCAGGCGGAGGAAGGCCAAGACAGGGGGGCGGCGGAAACGTGGTGTCGTAAGGCCGGTCTACGATAAGGGACAAAGCCACTCCAACAAAAACACAGCTGACGCGAAAATTAACCAACAAAGCAAAGCTCTAGCAACGCGCCAAACAACGCCAGAAGGACCGTATCATCAAATCGACAGCAGTAACAGCATCACCACAATATTATCATTGTAGCAGCACCACCAATACATACCTTGTCGGCCTCATCGCTGTCGTCGCCGGATACGGGTGCTGCACGTTTGTCGTTCGGAGAGTTCGAGGTCAGGCTATCCGGCAGTATCGACAGCATTACCGGGACGAACACGAAACCATGGTAAAACTGAAACGAGAAGACGACAGGAACAACGCAAAAGGCATTGGGAGAAAACAAAGGCAAGGAGGCTTGAGGGGAACCGAGGTAGGAACATCTTTGGCCGGCGGAAGTCAAGCACCGATATCGGACAAAATACGCCGACAAGTGGTCAAAGAGTCTTTTCCTGTGGACCGGTCTCGCAGATCATTGCAACTGCAAACTACGCCTGAGCAGCGCTGCAAACCACGCCTGGGCAGCGCCGTACGGTAGAAAAAACGATTGCCATGCCCACTCGCGTCCGCGTTCCCAAAACCTCCCTGAATCATAACCGACGAATCCGGTTTCTATGTCACAAGCCGAGCGGCGGCGTTCTGCCGACGAACCACGAGGAGACGCGTGTGGAGGAAAGAACACGCCCAGAGGCAGCCCCCCTCCAAAAAATAACGGACCTCACACTCACTCACTCACCCCGACCGAAATGATGAGGAACATCTTGAAGAACACGCGGAAAACGACGTTGTGCGCGAACACGAGCGGCATGATCCCCAAGAACGTCGTCCCCGCGCCCATCAGCAGCGAGGGCCCGATCTCCCCCAGAGCGTCGGCGATTCTCGTGTCCTTGGGCGTCCTGAGGTCCTTCTCTTTCCAGGGCTAAGTGACGTGTGAGCGACAAAAGAATGGGCCGGGGGGTGCTCGGCATCGTCAACCCTCGTGCCTACGCACAAAGTTCGGAAGGATACTGGCAGCCGCAGCGGGAGTTGGTTTTTACACAGGTTCGAGTGTGAAATGCCCATGATTGGTCACCGACTAGTGAGGGAAGGGAGGGCATTCGCGATCATGATGATTGACGTCTTTACCAGTCCGGGTTCGATCAATACAGGCGTCTGGAAGCCGAAGGGGGGTAAAACTTGTGTTCGTTCGTATTTCGTCGTGACTCTGGCGGAGGCAGTGACGTTTGTACACAACATGGCCGCCGCCGACCTCACGCAGTGATTGTTTTCGGAGAGGAACCCCAATCCAACAAAGCGAACCGAGGCCTTCCATAGTCTATGCCGGCATATGCAGCAGACGCGTGTCCCTCTGTCTTAATGCTGCTCTCGCCTGACGAAGGAAGTGGTGCACGAGGTGAACCATGTAGTCCACCACCAGCCCGACCGCCATGATCAACTCTGCGGGGGCGAAATTTGGGGACACGAAAATGTTTGCAACGGAGCGGGTACGACGAGAGACAATAGAATAAACGATATATTTGATGCATAAATCTTTCTGGTATTCGGAGAACCCACCAGACCTCTCTCTGCCCAGCTCTTCCGGATAACCAAAAAAGAACCACCGTTCTCCGAACTCTTGCCCGAAGTACCTTCCATGACTTCATGTTGTGGTCAAAGCGATGCAGCATTGTGGTTCACACTACCGTAGGGAAGGACGGATCAATTTGTGGCGTGCGGTATCGATTGTTTCTCACAGCAGCAAAAAGTAGCACCACCTCACTAAAAGTGAAACCGAACAGAGAGTTAATCTGCAGGAAGAGGCCGAAGCTATATGCAACAGGATGTCGCAAAACACACGCAAGAGAACGTGTGTGGTTTTATTCGTCGTGGATATGTATTTAGCTTTGTACTACCAACATTGCCTTTGCGTACTTACAGATGAGTCTAGACTACGCGTGTTTAACTGATGTTGCTCTTTTTCCGCGTTGGGCAAGACATGCGGAACGGTCGGGCTACAACTCTCAAGACTAACGTTTACCATATTGAGCGAGAACGCCTACCGCCGCAAGGTACCGTACGTGTTGGTTATTTTCCGGCGAAATTGAGGGTTGAGGTGATACCCCACCTGTTTGTACTGTGCGGGGGGGTCTGATAAGGGTTTTGTGGTTTGGGTCGGGTTTCGACAACTTCGTCGAGGCTTCTTCCATGGGGGGAGGGGGTATCTTGTTTGCTTCCCTTGCGAGCGATGGCCGCAAGTGCTCAAGAATCGCAGTGCTGTTTCTCGCTACACGTTCGTGAAGACTCGTCACCGCAACGTAGTGTTGCACGTGTTGCACGCCACGGTCGTGCTCGGACGCAGTTGTCGGAGCTTTTCAGTCGCACAAAATGGCAGAGATGTATGATCACTGACAGCTGCCAATTGTTGTTGGATTTTCACAAAGGACTCTGGCCGCAAGCCAAAGCGAACGGCCGTTGCCCGAGATGTCCCGCACCGCTCCGTGCATTCTCGGCCTGGCATTCGTTTCGGAACGGCAAATCAAGAACCAACGACAACCACTACCGTCACCCGGTGTCTCGAGGACAGATGCCACCACATATAAAAGAATGCCTATGTACAGTATCCCCGACCGCGAACGCTCGCGCCACGAAACCGTTGGACTACAGTCTGCACGTTCGTGGGTTGTTGTTGTTGTTGTTGTTGTTGTTGTTGTTGTCTTCTCATGAAAAAAACATTCCAGTCTCCACCCAGTAAGTGCTGAATATCCTTACTGGTCCAACTGACACGGGTACGCCGTTCGTGAACCACCCAATGAGGGGTACACCCTTTCGATCTAGGGATAGACGACCGGAGGATCGTCGTCGAGGTACGCGTCGTAGTTCTCTTCCACGTACGTCCCGTCCGGCGGCCACGACTCGCGCGTCACCGTCACGTTCAGAGACGCGCGGTTGTTGCCGTACAGGCCCTCGGCGTCGTTGGCGAAGCAGACCAGCTCCCCCGTCGCCGCGGCCACAAAGGTCAGGTTCCGACCCACCGGCATCAGGGAGGCCTGGAGCGACTCCCCGTCGATCTGCGGCAGGCAGGAAGGCAGGCAAGCAGGCAGGCAAACGTGGAGGAGGGTTGCAGTTGGAAAAGGTTTCCATTTGATACACGTTGTGGTTGGTCATCGGCAGGCAACAGCACGATAGAGAACGAAGCGCGCGGGGGGGGGAGCGTGCGAACATGGATGTTGGCATTCTTCGCACGGAACTCTGGGATACAATACCCTAACATCTTGCATATGGCAATATACACGACTGGGGACAGAGTTCGAGGGAAGGTGTGTCGCGGATGGGAGGGGGGGGGGGGGGGGGAAGAGTCACCAAGC